GTGTGTGTGTGTGTGTGTGTGTGTGTGTGTGTGTGTGTGTGTGTGTGTGTGTGTGTGCAATTAGTGTTTCAGAGAAAGCCATCAACTATAGGTTCTTCCCTGCTGGAGCACGTTTGTGCTGAAAGTGGCAAACTTAGTGCAGATGTTCTTGTAAAGAAATGCTTTCTCTCCAAGCAGCAACAACTTCACTCTCTCTTTTATTATTWTTTTTTAAAGCTTAACTCGTGTTTTGCCAAAAGAAGCCAGAGGATGGGTGGCGTGGTGGTGATGGATAGGGAGTGGGGGCTGAGACCACACAGGGAAAAAACGATAAACACTTCTCATCCAAGTTTTTTCCCTTCGTCATCTTCAGGATCTGAGCGGCTGTTTCTGCTGCTGCTGCAGGTCTGGAAGTTGGATTGTAAATGAGAGAAAAGAGGGGGAGGGGGATGAGGAGGAGGAGGAGGAGAGATGGGGGCACATTTTCCCCCTTTTCTTTTCCCTTTTCGACAGAGAGGGAGGGGTGTTGTTGGTGGGGGGAAATGCTCGGCGGACCGTGAAGCGTAACCAGAAGCAGGGAGGACAAAGACGCACATAGCAGGGACAGACTGCAGCAGAGACTCAACTTCTACTAACTTTTTCGGGGTGGAAAAAAAGAGAGAAAACTTTGGATGGATGTTTTTTTTTTTAAAGTAGCAGCCGCTCTGTGAAGAGTTGAAACCAGAACGATGCGTTTAAGTGTGGGCTCTGGTTAACCTCGGACAGTCTGTGCGCAAACAGGACGGAGAGTTTGAGTTGGACACGCTTCCAGAGATGACTCTCTCGGTGGGTTTTCCTGAGTCAGATTCTGATTTCCGTTCGAGGGGAACTTTGTGAAACTGCCGGAGGATCTCGTGTGAGAGCTCCAGTCGGAAGGTGTTTTACGCATTTGGATTCGTCCCCTTCCTTAAATGTTCTCATCACCGACTTAAAACCGAAACTTTTTTTTTTTTTTTGAACCAAGAAGAAGCATGAGATGTCGGTGCGGCGGCGCGCTGGCACTCCTCCTCCCCTGGCTGCTGCTGAGAAGCCTGGACGCCCAGCTCATCTGCTGGCAGGCGCTCTTTCGGTGCCACGGCGAGCCCGAGTGCGAGCTCGCCTACAGCCAGTACCTGACGGCGTGCGAGGGCAACCTCCGCGGGACCAGGAGGCAGTGCCCGAGCCACTGCATCAACGCGCTCATCCGCCTGAACGGCACGCGCAGCGGGCCCGACCTGGAGACGTGCGACTGCGCCAAGGACGCGGACTGCCACAGCGCCAAGCGCGCCATCGAGCCGTGCCTGCCCCGCAGACACCCGAGCGACGCCGGCGGCATCGGCTGCATGGAGGCCCGCCAGCGCTGCGAGGAGGACAGCGGGTGCCACGCCTCCCTCGCGGCCTACTTGTCACACTGCGGGCAGCTGTTCAACGGCAGGAAGTGCTCGGCCAAATGTAAAGCCACCATCCAGCAGATGCTGTTCATCCCCAACGGCATGCTGCTGAACCGCTGCGTCTGCGACGGGGAGGAGAGGCCCTTCTGTGAAGTGGTCAAGGAGAACATGAGCAGACTCTGCTCCATAGGGGACCACAGCGTCTCGGACCAGCCTGAGGTCGATGACCATTATGAGGATGAGGACTATGATCCCAGAAGTGGCAGGGAGGAGGGTTACCCCGATAGTTCCTCTGATCCCCACAGGTTATCCAGCTGCCTGGTGCTCCTGTTCCTCAGAACATTATTCTGACATCATGGGGACCTTTGACCTTTGGTGGAGCTTTCTCTCTCTCTCCATTCTTTGACAGTGCAGCCATAAGTTGTTTAGTGCTAGAATCTGGACTCAAACTTTTCTCATTGCTGGGCCAGGGCATTCTCAGTTGGAGGTGGTTTGTGCTGACAGACTCTCCACACACATGCTCAGTCTTTTCTCCAGGAATCCACAGAGGCAAGCTTTTTTCCCCCCACAGAGAAACCCTCCTGTTGTCAAAAGACAAACATAAAATCTTCTCAGATGACAGGAAGTGACCTGAACTAGACTCTGTGCACATTCTGTGTGTCTGCTCCTGTTTATTTGGTTTGGTGTCAGTGCTACTTAAAAAGTGTGGCCTTTTATTAAGACTTTGGGCAAACATTGGACTCATCCAGCCACTGTTTGCTCTGCTCTCCATTTCAGAGGCCTCGGCATTGTTGCCCTAACCACACTTCAAATATTTGTGGGAAAACAGTGCCGAGGACAGGCGAGGGTGTGGGATGGAGTACTTAAAATGAACTGAAGCGCCTCTTTCTAGCACTCTGTTCAGGTCCCCTCCCCCCACCGGGGACTGTTTTATTGAACTTTTCCTGAGACCACCTCCCCAATCCCAGCCCCTCTCTTCCTCCTCTGTACAGCCTGCTCCCCATTCGCCTTTACAAGACCCCTGGCTTTATGATTGCTTTCACACTTGCCACAACACTTCAGCTGCTGGTATGGACGCATCAACATTTCATACCAGCGGTCTGATTTCTTGTGTCAAAACCCATTTTGTGAAGAAGAAAAGGAGCTCGTTTGCCTTAGAACGTGTGCCTTGAAGTCTTTTATTGTGTGTTTTCATGTGAAGGTGCTAATGTTCCTCGTTTGAATGTCTGCGTCAAGTTTACTGTTTCAAACCAGCGTCCCTCCATTAGCTGTTCAGCAAAAAAAGAAAAAAAAGTATTTACCACTTGAAATGAAGTCTTGAATAAATCTGTTTAATGTTAAGTTATGAAGCTATAGGATATGAAGAATGTGTGTGTGTTTTACAATCATATGCAGTGAAATAAATAAGTGTTATCATGTAGATCAGATTCGGTTCACAAAACCCAGCCATGATTTTCCTGTTTTGGTGTTTTTGTAGAAAAATAGCAGCAGCTACATTCCAGAGAGTCTTCAACGTGGAACTATGAAGTTTTACAATAAAATACTTATAAAATAACTGTTGTGATGTGATTTATTGATGGTTTACCAGGAAAAGATAATGATCATGTGACCTCTACTCGAAAATGTTCTTTTACTGTTTATTAGTCAACGAAACCTGCTTTGTATCCAGATTAGCTTTGACAATTTTTGCCTCTTTTTCAAATATTGCAGTCTGTTCGCTTTCTTTCTGTTATACTTTACTCAACCCAAACCAGTTGACTTTTAAGTACTTTTCTTATCAGTGAAATTCATTTTCTGTTAAAGTATTTTTACCTCTACTTATTTTTTCCAAGTACAGTTACATCACTGCATGTGAGTATGAATGTTTGGGTTACTGTTGGTCTTTGTCTCATACGATGGACCAGTGACTTGTCCACAGCATACAGAAAAAAGTATATTCCTATTCTTGTTAAATGTCATTCTCAAGTTAGCCCAGGATTTCTTTCCACCATAAGCGCTGCGTGTGGGACCGCTTTCTCTGTCTAATACTTAAGGGATTAGTGCAGTGTAATTGAAACCTGGTGAGGAATTTTAAGTGTCTACTCRTTGCTCAACCTATGTCCCTTGGAAACAAACGATGCTATCAAGACTGTAAAAAAGAAAGGGAGGAAGGGAGAGAGAGAGAGAAATAAGTCTAAAAGTGATTTAAAGCACTTCTCTTTTTTGCCCATTTGCTTCATTTTACAGACTTTCAAAAGGCTTGAATTGTTACAACCTGCTTCAAAAGCAAGCAACCATTTGGGCCCCGTTTCCACACTTAACTGCGGTATTTGTAAGTCATTAACAAATTGTAAAAAAGTAATTTGGCATCGCTGGTCTGTGTGAGTTGCACACCTTGTTTTGTAGTTGCCCAAATGGTACAAAAAAAATGCCAAGAGTGGAAAAATCATGCTGGCTGGAATAAAAACAGATCTTTATGAGTTACCAGGCAGCAGATTTCTTTACATTTAGGTACCAAACTAATTTTTGCAAACATACTTTCTTTGTCAGTAACTAAAGTGCTCCAGAACGTCTGTCTCTCGTCATAAAAAACGAGATTGAGAAAAGAAGGGGGCTCGCAGCTAAAGTACAGCGTTTCTCTTTTGAGCTTCATGCCTTTAGGTCCAGTCCATCTTAATCACTGCCATACATCTCCAAAACAACCAGCCTGCCCCCCCTCCTCCAGTGCTCCTTGTCCCCCGCCCCTCCACCCACTTCTGGGAGCAGAATCAAAACAAACACGAGTAGAGAAGCCTTGGGGAGTTGAGTGTTTTTGAGTGGGGTTGGGGGTTACAGAGGCAGCAGCGTGCTGGAGCCCATTTTCTAAATTATCTTTACTCAACATTTCTTTGAAACAACCCTCTGCACCCCTGGCCTCAGAGTGGGAGTGACCCTGGGGGATTTTAAGGCTCTTGTCTCATATAGGTACACAATGTTCCATTTATGATAACCATTAGACCCCGAGCAAATGGCTAGCTTGCTCCGTGTGCATGAGGGGATCYTGGAGCCAAGGGCATCCAGCTCCTTTGGATCCAAAACACAGAGACCCCCTCTTTAGAGACACTGATACCAATAACCGTCCAAGCAAAGGGGGAGGGAGACTCTGGAACATTTTTGGACATGCAGCAAAACGGACAGCACTCTAAAAGCCATAAGTCACAATACCATAGGCTGTATCCTGATGCATCTCAGTAATCCAGGTAGAAAAAAATCAAAAAGAAAAAACAGGTCCTCTGGATGGGTTCTTCTTTAGTGAAATGTTTCGTCTCTCGTTGGAGACTTCTTCAGTCTGATGAGTTTCAGGTGAACTCAGCCTTATAAGCACTGCCTCCACATGGACAAACAGGTTAGTCACATGCAAAAGAGGGCCATCGCTTAACAATAGGCTTGATTAGGTATTTTTAGTCACATAAGCGATGGCCCTCTTTTGCATGTGACTAACCTGTTTGTCCATGTGGAGGCAGTGCTTATAAGGCTGAGTTCACCTGAAACTCATCAGACTGAAGAAGTCTCTTGGATGAGAGACGAAATGTTTCACTAAAGAAGAACCCATCCAGAGGATCTACTGATTTTTTTCTTTTTCACCATACTGTAGGTTGTGGTTCAGAGAGAAAAAAATTGGTCGAAATTTTGGGAAAATGGAGCAGTGGGTTTCAGTTTTCCATCTCAGAACCTCCATCTCTGGGCTGCAGTAACTGGAAGGGTGTTCAAAAACACTTTTTAGGAGCGATATAAATTGGCTGCACTCCCAGAAACAAGCAACAAAGAAATCACAAGGGTCACAAACGCAGCCAAAGTTTTCCTGGCAGTAACGCGTTTGTGTCATGATTAAAGCAAAGAAGCCGAGCCAAAAATCTATGAGGTACCAGCAGCCAATTAGAGTCACTTCTCCAGCACATGTGACCCAATGATTATCTGTTGTGAAGTTTTGAGATTCAAGGCTGAGCTGCTTTCTGTTTTATTAAGTGAAAATGAGTCTTGGGCACTTGGCATGACAGATCAAGTGCTCAATTTCTTGCTAGTTTTACTTTTTGAGCCAAATTTTTCAAAGTGGTAATCTGAATTGGAGGATATGTAATAAATAAAAAAGAAAGAAAGAGCAATGTTAATCTAAATTTTAAGAGCCAAAATTTCTCTGGTTTTCGACTRATGGAACAAACCCAAGACTTCCCACCATACTGACTGGCTGATTTTAAAGCTTTCATAAAAATATGTGCATAAAACATTTTAAAAAATGGTATGGAAGTTTTGTAAGACCTCTCACATGTTTGAACCAGAAACTAAATGAGCAAAGAACAAATGAGATATTTAAGTCAATGTTTAATACATTTACAGAAAACTCTCCGAAACTGGCAAAGGTTCTGAAAACCTCCAATCATTGCTGTATTATATGAAAGAGAAACAAAGTCAGTTGAAAAAATAAACACAAATCACACGAACATTTCAYAAATGTGGACCTAATCAAATTTGATCAATTCTGTGCTGCTGTATTCTAAATATGCACGTCTCAATCAAACACCATCAAATATTCCTTCAATGCAACAGTAGCTGATGTCAAATTGGGCCATGCAGCCCCGCCCAAATAGAACCACAGGCCGCTGGGTTCCTGAAATCAGGGGAATTGGGCTATAAGAGCAAACGTGCAGAACCCAGGATTGAACCCGGGCTGGACTGGGGCGGGCCTTACAGTACAAAAAAATAAAATACACAGAAACTACAGACTGCTTCGAGATGACGTCGCAGTTTGTGCAAAGCCATTAAACCACAATATCCTCTTGGCTTCTCAAAAAAAGCTGACAGAGTTAAGAAATTATACTTCAGAATCTTTGCAGTCATGACTGACAAAATAACAGACTAACAAAGAAGATTAAACTTGCAATTCCTTACTACTGGTTTCCTGAACCCAAGCAGATGTAAGAGTTTTTTTTGTTTGTTTGCCTTGAGAAATTCACTCAGGTTAAAAACCAGACAACTCACTACATCAGAGTAGGAAATCAATAGTTATTTTTGGATTATTGGCACAATTTCTAAAATGGTCAAAGTTGTACAATAACTAGTGTGAAAAAACTAACCTGCTAAATAAAATATTTGTTCCTCTATAAGTTGTTAATGGAACCACGCCCACCACTGCAAACGTCAAGTGATTGCTTTGTGCTGCTAAAAAAAGGACAGATTTCACATTTTCAAGAGACTTATTTTATTTTACTTTAGTCATTTTTATCTTATTCCTTAATAAATACATTATAAAACATTTTTTTAAATAAAAAAATGAAATGGCAGAAGTGTGAATTTTTTGCTGTAGATTTTTTATCTTACTTCTATCCCACACATTTATCCCAGTTTCCTCAAAACCAGATATGTTTTCACAAATGTCCCTTTTAAAGCACTTTGCTTTGATTTAAAGTCAGTAAAGACACAGCAGTAAGAGTTAACCACTCACTCTTTGGCGTTTTACAGCTGAACCAGAGGTCCAGCTCTCAAGGTGTTTCATGTTTTTATCAAACCAAATTTCACTGAAACAGAACTAAATGTAAAGAAACTGCAGGATCAGTGTAAACAAGGCAGAACCTGCAGCTCCAGTGGAGACTCCATCAGCAGAAAGAGTATGATAGAACAGTGGGTTGAAGAACTACATACATGTTTACAGTCAATACATTATTTATTATTACAGATCTTATCCAGTTTTATCTTTCCCAGCATCAATGCTCACATTTTATTGCAWTAGATTTTTGTTTTACATTTTGTACGTGTGAAGAACTTTTGAATAATCAGTCTCAGTTTAACTGATTTACCATGACAGTGTGGTTTTGTCATTCAAACTGTCTCATTAACATATCAATGGTGCGTCTGGAGGAGGGGATCCAGGCTACAACAACGCAGTGGAAAAGAGCAGACAACAGTCACATTCAGCAGTGTGCAAATCCAACACTCCAGAGCTACTTTCAGCATTTTTACAAAGCTGACTCTTACCTGAAAAACATAACAACAAAGCTGAGGTCCTTTACCTGCCAATTCATCTGGTGGGAGAAATTTTTTTTTCCCAGCAACAGCCAAAAAAGTGGCCACGTGTGGCTGGCGAGTGTCACATCCCACCCAGATAGTGTACTCRGTTGGTTAGGATGTGGTGGGATTTAGCTCCCGCAGAGGCCTGGTGTGGTGAGGGGTCTGAACCTGAACACTGAYGGACGGTCCACGGGGGCATTCCAGAGTTTTACAGCTGCCACCCTGCTCACTGCAAACAGCAAGCTAAACACACACAGAGAGGACCGAAGTTAGTTTAAAACAAAATAACACACTCCAAATATGGGCTCAGAGCAGATTTCCAACTCAAGAATAGATAATATTTTCCTCTATGTTTAACCAATCATGTTGAAGTCATTACATTAGGTTGTAAAATTAAATATTCTCCAAATAATTCCTGTGTTTTGGGCAAAAAAAACATCCAGATAAGATTACAAATCTAAATACGTTTTCTTAGAGTTGGACAGTGCTCTAAACGTACAAATTCTAGATATCATTACATTTTACACACAGGGCAGGCATGTTGCTTTTGTCATAAGTTGAAAAATTCATTTAGTTCTTCTTTAGTCTTCTTTTTAATACTTTATTCTTAAACTAAAAACTTTAGATGTTTTTTTTAATAAATTATTGAATAAAATTATTGGAAGTGGATCCTGACAGAATTAATCTTTAACAAAATATTATTTTAGTTGACGGTTAACCGTGATATTTCTGTGTGTGTCTGATAGCATTTTATGTCATAAACCACAAGATGGATTTTTTACATTTTTATTTAACTCGAAGTATCATTGGTCATACATAAAACCACAACACTTCAGGTGAGAGATGCTCAGCTGCAGACTGAGCTCCAGGGAGGTGCTTTGGTTAAATAGGCGGTGCTTTGTACCAGYAAGAGTTTAGAAAGCTCCATGTGATATAAAGCTGAAAAAAGTGGATTTTGCATAATAACTCCCCTTTAAATTGTCGAAATGTAATAATTTGTACACTACACTATCGTAATAATTTTATAATTATATATACAGTATATTGTAATTTTTTAAATATTCTCTTTTTAAATAATACATTTCATTTCTCACTTTATCCTTGCTTTTCAAAGATTTTTCATAGTCATACTTTTTTATGTCATTAACTTAATAATAGTAAAATTACACTGAAACAAACAAAAAAAAAACACAATGAATGCTCACAATAATGTAAATGTTCAAGATAGAAAAGTAAACCCACATTTTTCATTTGTTGCTGCGTAAATTGAACATCTGAGCTGGTTTTTTTGCATTTCCAGTATTACCCATCATTCAAAGTGAGCAGTTAGTCATGCCTGCACCTGGAATTCTGCGTCTACCCCTCACCCTTCAGGTCTTTGCATGTGAAATCAATTTAGAGGTCTATAAGGGTTTGGTGCTTTGAGGCCCGGGGTCTTGTAAATGAAACACAAAAACATCACCTGCATCTTAGGCCTGAAATGCAAACTCTCTTACGGTTACAGTGTGACGATTCCCCGCGTTTCGTTGCTTACTTTTGCGCAGTCTCAGGTCACCAGACAGACCTGGGCGTCGCTGCGACCCACTCAGAAACAGCTGCTGTTGGACCAGTGCCAGCTGGAGTGGCTGACTGCAGCGTGGTTTTATTAAAACAACTGCAGCAGGATAAAAAAGCCACATTCTTCATGAAAGTTGAGCAGCCTCTGGAGTTGTCGGTTCCCTACTACCCGGCCTTTTTTCGCCCCCCCCCTTAAATTCATAATTCCCTAGGAATTTTTTTTTTTTTTTTTTTTTTGCTGAGAACAGGATATTGTCTGGGTTTTAGGTATCCACTAACCATCTTGGAGTTAAGCCCAGAAAATACTCTGAATTAGGACTTTGTGTACAGATGTTATTAGTGGCCAAATTCATGCATTTTGAAACCCAACTTAATGTTAATGATACATTTCTGTTTATTCTGCACAGGCCTGATATGTACAGAACATGTAGTCTTTGAGTTTAAGAACGAAGCGCATATGTCAGCTGTTGGTTTTTTTGGTGTTTGTGTGTTAAGGGGGTCACTCTTTCCTTGCACTATGTCCAACTTTCATAAGGTAGGCTTTTATGTGAGGGCATAGCTGCACAGAATCAAAATCCAACAGCCTCGAAGCTCTGCAGGGTGGCCAACACAGCAAGAGGATGGCTCAGACTTTTACCAGTGGAAAAACCTTCAATGAAAGGACATTTCATCGCAACCTTTGGCCATCTGATACTCCCTTAACCACAGACCACATTCCTCCACGAACCCTCTATGTTGTTACTTTTTAAATGACTGAAAGGGTTTTAATACCACATCATCGTGGCCAGAGAAATGGTTTGCTCAACGCAGCAGGAAAACTCACAGCTTCTGACAGAATCTGTTAGAGATTCTCGATCCAGAGACGCGTCCCTCTGAGTCTCCTGCATCTGAAACATAAATGCAAATRAATTACTCAAAAATATGCCCAATAATTCATTACTGTCCAAAAATAAAGAGGGGGGACAATCAGCACATAATTTCAATTTAGGATATTTTTCCGCATCTTTGTCATCAATCTTTCCAAACAGAATGATGTTTCTTACCTTAATATGCTTCTTGAGGTATTCAGCTCTGGTCATGAGGCTTTTTATCTATTCAGAGACATAAATGAAGACAATCAATGCAAAAGGTTTTACTAGGCTTCCTAGTTTKAATTTTTCCAGGAATGCTCTAGATGTCTAGTTTTATTGTTTAGTTTTTAGTTTCAGTTGTTTTAGTTTTGTTTGTTTTTAAAGGCTTAACCAGTGTGTTAGCCTTTTGTTAGGCATGGCCCTGTGTGTACAAGACACCAGCTGCACTGATTGAATCTTGAATCTGCAACATTGTTTCTAAGTGCCGGGCCTGATTTAAACAAAACATTACATAGATAGATAGGTGATGGATGCTTCCTGTTGGAAACTGGTAAAAAGTTGGCATAATCTGTGTAACCATCATTGTACAGTAAAATATTTGTGCAGCCATCGTTGCACTACCTCTGTCTTAACTTGCACTCATCGGTTACTGTTTGTTTTTTTATTTGTTATTATGACTGTTCATTTTAATGCTTATAATCTGAACTTGTCTGCTGCTATAATACCAAACAATTTTCCTCAGGGAATCAATAAAGTATATTTCTATTTTTCAACCCTTCTAAACTTGTTTTGTAAGGATATTTGTGAATGTTAAGGGCCACCAGTAGATGGTTCAGTGGCACTTTTTGTCTCTATCATTCATGACACAAATGGTCAAATATACAAAAAAATGCATGACAAAGAAAAATAAAACATTAAAATTTGATCAAAGTTTTTCTCTCTGCACTTGCGCTTTTGTTCTAATATTTAAAACAGTTCATATGGTAAATGTTTGAGTGGTACCTGCTGTAATCAGAAACATTAGGAACTCTCACTGTGATGTAATCATTAATGTTGTTTAATACCTGCCCTCACCACCATCGTTACACAGTGAAGTCTGTGTCTATCTGCAGCGACATCTGAAGACTGTAATAACAGCAGACCAACACTGATTACTTCCATAATGTCCCTTTAAACATACAGGCAGTAGTTGTACATAATCATTTTGACCACAGGTTGTTAGAATCTGGCTTTGACCCAAATCATCCGAAGCCACACAACTTGAATCACTACCCCTCGAGTCACTAAGGACAACGAACGTTGATGAGGTCTACATGGGTGAGTAAACAAGATCAAAACAGTTCCAGTTCTCATGATATCAGACCGGGACATTTACTACACTGTATAACATACATTAGTTTAAAAAAAAGGCTGCAAGAAACCAACACAAAGACGCAGACGTGAAAGTGTGCTTTATAGTGGATACGATGGCACACTGAGGCCAGCCATGTGTTAGCTGTTTTGGGTTCTCACATACACACATGCTTTCAATTTTACCCCCGCAACCCCGCCTCCCCACGCTGCATTAGATTATTACAACCGCATCTGAATTTACTTAAGGCAAGCACCCATAAAACTTCAAACAGGGAGGTCTATGAGGCCCACTTAGTGCCCAACCCCCTACTTGGGGTTTGTTGGTGAAACAGTGTTGTCTTTTGTTGGTAAAGTTGCAAGATAAACAACAGACATAAAAAACACTTATTATCACTTAAGAAACATGGGCAAGTATTTAAAACGTATTAAGTTAATGTAAAATATTACTACTTATCAGTATCTATTGTAGGGTAAATACTGGGGCTATGACTTATCACATACTTAGGAAAAATTGTTAGAACCTGTCAAGTTTTTTTTCCATTTTAATTTTGAGATTTATACTAAATGGATTCATTTTTCCCTCCTTCTTTATTCATCTACCAAGAATTGTCAACAGTAAAAATCAAATGAGATTTTGGAAAGTTACTCTTTTTTAGCAGAAATGTTCCAGCTCAACCACGTATACTCCTACAACAGCCTGGCTGGTGGAATGCTGAGCCAGTGGATGGCCTTTTTACATATCTGTATAGTAATTCTCACTGGGAGCAGCTCTTGGCTTGTTGATTACATGTCTGACAAAAGTCCTTCATTCCTGGTTACTAATTTTGACTGGGCAGCCAAATATAGGAAGTACGTCGGTGGTTTATTCCTCCACTGTAGACTGACAGATAGTGATGTGTCTCAGAGCAATTTAAATGCTTCTGAGAAAAAAAAAATCCCAGTGTCCTACCCCGAATCTTTCCTTTTACTCAGTCCTTTCTCACAGTACTACAAACAGTCCTTTTGCTATAATGTCTTGGTTTCTTACTCACACTATGTTTTAGATTACAGGAACCTTTATATTATTCCTAAACCACATTTAACCAATTTGTTGAGTTTGAATCATAAGACTACTAGCAGCTCAAGGAACTATTTTAAAAACATTGATTTACTTTCAACCATGCTAGCTATCCACTTCAGGGGTGTCTAATCCTGGTTCTCAGGAGCTGGTTTCCTGCATGTTTTACTTGTTTCCCTGCTCCAACACACCTGATTCAGTGATCAAATTACCTCTTCATGTTCTACATAAGCCTTCATTCCTTCATTCAAACCAGGTGTAATGGAGCAGACAAACCTCTAAAGCATGCAGGATGGTGGCCCTTGAGGACCAGGATTGGACACCACTTCTCTATTCAGACGAATGCACCCTCCTAAATATAAACTTAGCACAAAAAGTAAGGTAATTTGTGTTTGATAGATTATTTCTTTGTTGTAACAAGGATTCTTGGCTATAAATCTTATAGTAGGCACCTGATTTTTAGCACCTGGGGGTACCAGAAGCTCAAAACAAGTATGAACAGCAACAGCAAAATAAGCTGTTTGGCAATGGAAGAGAAGATTTGGCAATTTTTTTTCTTGTGAGCAGCTCTACTGCTCATATCCCACAAGTGCATACAAATTAACAGGTTTTTCAACGGCATACAATTTATTGATGAGATGCATTGTTACAACAAACTAATAATCTACCAAACACCAAATTCCTTACTTTCTGTGCCAAGTATAACTCCATTAGCCACATTGGATTGTGTAAATTATAGAATCAGGACAATATAAACAGGGTGGATTACTGTGCGTGACACAATCATCACTGTATTAGCACCAAGTATCAATTTAAAAAATCTTCAACAATGCAGCCCAAAAACAAAAACTATACTTTGTTTTAATAATTTTTGAACTACATTTAACATTGTTAGATGTAATTATTGTGAGCAGTTTGACCAATGAGACGACAAGCAATTGATCATTTCAAGTGGACTTTGGGAAAAAATGTTTGTGAAGGAGTCTGAAACCTTTCATGTTTGTATGTTTTACCTCAACAATGTGGCTAAACTCTCTAAGGAGTCATAAAAATTGCAAAAAGCACCAAAAACCTAATATTCTGGACTTCAGGCTATTATTTGTGACTTGAACCCTAATGTTCACACCAACACCATCCTAAAGGTGGCTCGTTTTTAATGAAGTGCTCTATCGAATGGCTGAGGGTTTTACTGGTTGAAAATCGTCTGCAACTGATTTCACTAATAAGACTGCTAGTAAAATTGTAGAAAGTTTAGTTCACAATAAAAATGTTTTAGGCTGTAACACATTTTTTCCACGTTAGGAAAAAGATGCAAGTCTATATAAAAAACTTGGCAGCATATTCTTTTATGCTTAGTATTTAATCTTTATTTTCTATTATTAAACCTTTCAGGCCCATTGATAAATGATACATTTGACTACTTTAGTCTGGACTTTTCACTGGATACAAAGGTATTCCACTTTCAGGTAAATTTTATTGTTATTGATGGTGAATTCAGGTTGTTTTTTTTTTTTTTGGCTTAAATCTAAATCACGCATGTTAATGCTAGAAGTAAAGAATCGTGATGATTATCTGGGAGCTCACTGATCGGGAGATTCTGCAGTGAGCACAAACCTTTCCTCAGCTAACTCACCTCGCTGTGGAGCAACTCTCTCCTGCGTCCCTGGGGCTCGGCTGGCTCGCAGAGGCAGAGAGAACAGGGGAATAAAACACAAAAATAATGAAAATAAAGGAGGAGTCCATATCTAATCACAGTGTTTGTTCAAGAAGAGGGCCCGCTACAAGATTGGATTCCTCTAGCGTGCAGACTGGGGGGCTTGAGAGTGAAAATTGCTCTAATCTAGGTCATTGTTTTTACAGTCAGTCGTGCTGGAGGGCAGAGAGAGATGGAGAGAAGAGGAAGGCTCTGTGGCAGTGAGGCACATTCAGAATCTGTGCAGCACAAAAAGCTCTGGATTAAACAAAGAACCAATGTTTTCTCCCAACAATCAGGGTGGTGGTATTTGGTGTGCCACACAACACGGCTCCCTGTGAAGAAAATGAGGCTGGATGGGACGGTTTTAGCGTTTAGCTAAACCAGAACATCATTACTGATCCAAAAACAAAACAGATGAGCTCCTTAGCGCATTCAATTAAAAACTCTGATTTAATGTTACACTTGGGCTTTTGCAAAGAGCACCTACAATCAGTCAAGCCCAGCTCCTCCTATGAGACTAAAGCACTTGTCTCTTAAAGAGATAATAATTTTTATTTGCCTACAGAGTTCTGTAACACACACAGATGAAATATTGTGTCTGAATGGGAAGCAGATGGCAGCGCTCTCGTACCACACACAGGGTGCTGGAACCGGGTCTCATCCCAGCTCAAAGCCACATCTGGATCACTCTATTCCACCTCTTCCATTAGGCTAATCTTCCAGATGAGCTCATGAACCTGGTTAATGGACGCCAGGCCTTAGAGAGTCACTAGGGTCTTTTCTGTTGCCCCTCTGTGTCACACCCGTCCTCACATTCTTCAAGCCTTTACCGTCTCAGTCTAAAGTCATTGTTTGGGAAGCTTTTTGTTTCCAATTAAGTTCTAATAAAATATCTCCATATTTTTGTTATTTTCCCCCCTCTCTTTCAAAGGTTTTCACTTTGAACAATTGATTTTGTTTGTCTGTTCTTACAAGTGTGGCTTTAATCTGAAGCCTAAAAGTTGAGCTTTATCCAGCTCATTAAACTCGACCTCTAGGTCTAAATAGAAAACAGGCTGAATGGAAAATGGTTTCTATTTCTTCTTGATTTACCAAACCGTCATGGTGGCCTTCAACAGTTCCTTTGCTAAAGCACAGCTAAGAAGACCGCCTTGAATAGTAGAAGGGTAACAAACWTTACAAAAATACTTAATAATCATCAAATCTTGAATGTAATAAAAACAAGGAGTTGATMTACCTGCTAGAGCCAACAGGAGCTCTCCTAAAGACTGTTGGTACACGTCCAGAGCTTCTTGCTCATCTGAGCCGCTCTCCTCCTACCACAGAGGGTTAAAAGTACACAAACCTAATCAGGCTACTATTATCTTTATTAAAATGTATCTATTCCTTCATAAAATTCTTTAAAGTTTAGAACTGTAAAAAATCAACAAAAACAAACAGTAAAACAATCAAACAGTTGTAGAACAAAGGGTCTACTTCCTTTTGATGTGTTTTTGTACGCTCCAGTAAAAAAGTTATATAACCTTAGCGATGGCTGTAGAAGCTTTCTCCAAGGCAGCCAGGAGGCGAGGTTGGTCTTGAGACATTTCTGTCAAAAAGGGAAAATAGAAGAGTCTTTCTTGTTTCTGTGTTTTCGCAAAATCCATCAAAAAGCCACAACTTAACAAAGAAAACTAAAAACAATAATCTGTCTTTGTGCCACAAACGGCTCTAATTAGTTGGGGTGTGGATACGTCTGCTATGTTTGCCACYAGATTGTTTCTTGTTCTGTAGGTTTCACAGAAACACCTTCATGTATTCAGCTTGTTCGAAGACATGYGACAAATTTATAACTAATTTGCAATTGGGAGAGTTTGCAGGCCAGATCAAGTTCTTGTGGATCGTGCGGTGCTCCCTGGGCTGTTAGTGGGCTTTGTCATAATAGAGGAAATGTGGAATTCAGAGTCCAGTTTAAAATTCTCACAATCACTTACAGAGCGTAGCACGGCCACCTATACAGCAGCTCTACTTCACCCATATGTACACACATGCTTAGGTCCAGCTACATATTCCACAGTCCCGTCTAAAGACTCATAGGGATGGATCATTTCAGGTTGTAGCTCCTAAACTTTGGATCACTTTACCGCAGTCTCTAAATTTCTAGATTTTAAATAAGCAGCTAAAAACCTCATCATTTTAAGCAGGCTTTTCATGTGGCTGTGTAAATTTTAATGTTCTTATTTGCTTTATTGTTTGTCACTATATTTTTTATGCTCTGTTGTGAAGCACTTGACAGCGAAAAGCACTATATATCAAAGTTACTGACTTAGTAAAGTAAGAAAAATGTGAATTGAACATATCAATACAAAGATATCATACCTCAGGTTCAAACTGTGTCTAATATTGTGTCTGACAACAAGAATTAAGACAAACACAGTTTGGCATGATGTAAATAGGATTATTTGAAGGGACCTCTCTTGTGAAACAGAAAGATTATGTCTACATGTGTTGTCTTCGTTTTCCACCCATGGTTGAGGTCTTTACCTCGGAGAACATCTCTGGCTGTCCGAGCTTCCTCAAAGCTTCGTTTGTTGTCCGAAGCAAGAAGGGCTTTCAGCTCCTCCGCTCTGGACACATACTGTCTGACCTGTGGGAAATAACGCGGACAMGAATTTATTTCATCAACACCTACCTACACTTCTCCAGCTAGGCTGCGTGCTATCCATAAAAGGACAATTACTTCCAAAAGAGAAGCACCAAAGTGCATAGATATAAACAAATGAAACTGAGAAGTAATCTAAATGTAAATAGGAGCCATGTTTTCAGGCCCACCTTCTGTCTGAGGGCATCTTTACGTTGTCGGTCCGTCTCATCTGGGGAGGAAAAGGAAATATTTTGGTTTTACTGTCAGCAAGTTTACTTTTGTTCCTCAGCAAAGTCAGAGGATTGTTCGAAGGCATGAAGGCACAGACAGGATGTGAGGGTAATTGTTGCTCTTACAGTAAATAGCAGGGACAAAGTGCTCAAGGGCACTGCAATAGAAAGACAGAGCAGCAGACCTCTCCCCCTCTTGGTCCTTCTGAACAGCCTGTAAAACCAGCTCTTTCTTTAAAAAAAGAAAAAAAAAAGGCAGCATCAGTGACTGAGAAACTCATCTGCTGCGTGTGCAATGCAGGTATGTCGACAAAACAAGTCATCCTCTTACTGCTTTCACGATACTGTCTGCGCTCGGCATGTGCTCCAGATCCACAAAAGGGTGAGCGAAGAACTCTGTGAAGGTGATCCGGGCATCTGGATTTCTCTCCAGCAGCCTCAGCAGAAGGTCCCTGCAGTCTTTAGATACTCTGGCCCCGGGAGGGAGCTGAGACACAAAACATAACCTTATTATGTTGCATCCAATCCACAGGACGATCCAAGAAAAAAACAAAAGGCAGCACATTGTTTGAGCAAACCCTCCAGTCTCACATCATTACTTTCTGTTAAAAGATGACCTTTAAACTCCCTGTGAATCTGTGGATAATGGACCGTGAGCTAATGCAATCCATTACGTCTAAACCTAATGTTTGACACGGGAATTAAAGGATTCCAAAAGTACTCCATGCTGAAAAGTACACGCAAGCTGAACTTTCCCAGTTAACATGATATTTTGTACGTAGTTGGAAATATTGAAACTACACCTTTTCATTTCYGATCAGTGCAATCTAATGATGCGCCTCAACATTCAATCAGATCTAAAAACAGCTAATATTTCAAAGCGTTGTATCGAGTTTGATTCGTTTAATCTACGAATTTAAAGTTTTAGAAGGAAAAACTACAGAACCAGTTTAACTCCAGAAGAGCAAACACTTTCCCAGACATCGAGTGTGGCAGTYCGCCATCTTGTGGTGGTTCTTTAAATTGAAGTAAAAAAAAAGGTCTTCAGAAAATCTGTCTTGATATCAAAGCTTTGATTTCTCTCCAGGGAGTCCAATTACATTCAGTTTAATTGCTTTTATTGCCAGATGCTCTGAATATTTGTGGACATTTGGAATAAATAAATTCACCTTAATTAAAAAACCCCAACCTGTTTCAATGTAACAGCAGATTATATTGTCAAGTTTTCTGCAAGTTTTCATTTTTTGTTACAGAACAGATGAGTAATTTGCATGTGTGCAGACGCCAGCTGTGTTACCGTGTTAACAGTCCTTTACAGCGTTCAGTGCAGTTTGAAGTTGTTTTTTTTAAGATTAGCTGACTGAAACTTAATTATTGCTCATCTCTTACCTCGATGGGTTGACTACTTCGAATCTTCTCCTCCAGTTCAGCGTAGGACTTTGATGCGAATGGGGCTCGTCCAAACAGCGCCTCTGTGAGCAGAAAATCAAAGCAGAGGAGAGCGTTTTAAATCATTGTATAGTAGTTACAGAATATTATAGTTCAAAACAACTGAGTGATCATATAAAGATGATGTTATTTTCCTTTCGGGTACGCACTTCTGTAGAAGTTGCCACATCAAGCAAACCTACATGAAAGATTTGGTTATTGTTTCACACGGGACAGAAGGACGCCCTTCCTGATGCAGTCTGGTCTCGAACCAGCAGCCTCGGGATTATTAGACCACAGCACTGACAGAGCTACARCACCCCCAGTCATCATATAAAGAAAATATCCAGTATTTCAAATATCAATCTAAAAGTAAACATTATTTGTTTTATGAGGATATAGAATGATGAAGATTCTACATTAGAATGCAGCTGAAGGATATTCTGTTTTGTTTGTACTGATTTTTAAATGCACTTCACACATATTTTTATTGAAATGTTGACTATTTTTGATAATCAAATGTGTAATTACAACCACATACTGTTTTATCATTAGGTTGCAGGGTTTGAGTTCAAGGACGGAGCCCAGAGACAGGGACAGTTCTTCCTTTCGAATGCGGCATCCTTCGCTCCAGGAGGAGTGGTTCAGTCCAGAATGGGGGTGTATAAAACTTTGTTGTTTTGTTTTCGGGACCAAAAACTGTACGACTGCATTCAGGTCTGTTTTTGGTCCAGCTGAAAGTTGTGTTAAACTTTATATTCTGCTGTTAAATGKTCCAAGTCTAAATCTGAAACCGTTTCCTGTGTGTACTTCAGCTGCAGTTTASGTTTTCTCACACAGCTTTCTCTCTGAAAACTTTCTTTCCATGTTTTGCAGCAGGTTTGAGTTTGCATTTTCATACACAGGTTTTTGCTCAACCATTTATAAAAAAAATTGTCCAACACTGAACATGTCTAGGTTGAAGATGGCAGGGCTTTAAGCAAGCAAAATGCCAGTCATTTTCCAATAAATAAACCACACTGTTAGGTTCATATCTTTCACAGTATTCAGTATTATTTAATTCAATAATAAAAAAAATCACAATCTCTTTAAAACATTTCACTACAGGTTTTAGGCTACTTTTAGGCTGTGTATATTACGTTCTGTACTATTTTACTGTAACACATTGWTGCAGTGATTTTCTAAAGCTTCCTGTTACTACTTTACACAATCTTTTCCCYATATTTTAACCAGTAACACTTCCAATTTTCAACCTGACATTGGTTTTTATTTTAACCCGTTTCCAAAAAGTAAAAGAACCTGCCGGTAMTTTCCCTTAAATCACCATAATAAAATCTGTCTCGACAACAATGAACACTATGAATGAAGTCACTGTCAGTGTCGGATCATAAAACCAGAGGAACCAATCAGTCGGATGGAGTTGCTAAAATTAAAGTTGTGAATGTGGAAATAATTCACATCTAACATCAAAATAATATTAAGAGCACTGTTGGGTTTTATTAAGACATGTCATGCAGGTAATCATTAGTTTCTTTGTCCCTCTGTTTGCTTTTGTGACTGACTGTGAAAAGAACTCCAACCATTTAATGTGATGCTTCAGAGTTGCTATAGCTTTATTATTGTACTAATATTTCAATAAAAGAACCTTCGACCAGGCTGACATTACATGATTAATGGTTCAATTCTGTTCTAACCCACTGAACGCGCTCTTTCAAGCCTGCAGGTCCACACGGCTGATTATTCTTTTAATTCTGAAAAGGTGGCCACGTCAGGAGGTTATTAATCACCACTGAAAAGGAGTCTGCACAGCTAAAGACCTGTGTGTTTAGGAACCTTTCCAAAACACACCAACGTGTCAGGACCCACTGGAACTTAATAATAATAATAATAATAATAATTAAATATAAACATGAAGCACTCACCGTACAGAATGACTCCTACTGACCACAGGTCCACCCTGGAGTCATACTGACGTCGACACACCATCTCAGGAGCCATGTAAAGAGGAGAGCCCCGCAGGACGCTCTGCTCATCCCAGGGTGACATGTACTGGGCAAACCCAAAATCTACAGCAAATCATAACAAAAACATTGCAATTTTTTTTTTCAGACTGATTCAGGATGCACACTGCCTGAAAACACCTTCTGATAAGAAACTAACAACACAGACAAGGAAATGTGGTTTGTTTAACAAAAAAAAAGGGGTGAAAAATTACACAAAAACACAACCAGGTGATTTTTCAGATGCACAACACACTGCTAATGGACACTTAATGGACACACTGATTTATTTTCTAGGGGTGGAAATGAGATCACCTGCTAGTTTGAGGACTGAGCCGCTAAGCAGGATGTTCTGGGGCTTCAAATCCAGATGGGAGATATTTCGTCCATTAAGATACTGAAGAGCGCAGGCTGTTGGTGCACACAGATACATGAACTGTTACACACTGAACGGAAGCACATCAGCCTACATCATGCAGCTGAAACAAAGGAGAAAAATCTATTATGTGCTTGTAATTTGTTTCACAAATAATTTTAACTATTTTTATGAACTCCTCTGTGAATCACCACCCAATTGTGGGGACAGAGTTTGTGTGCCTGAATGATCCAAGGAGCTAGCTGCTACCTCCGTGAACCGACTGCAGAGCGAGCGGCACATAATGATAATAATTTACAACAATTTAAATGTACCCATGATAGGAAAGGCAAAAATATCTCATTATTCGGTAGAACTCAGAATAAACTGTATTTGTAAATATTATAGTTGGGAAAGTCTCACCTATCTGCTGCAGGAAGCGCCGCGCCACGCTCTCGGGTAAAATCCTGCGGCTGCGGATGAAGCGGGACAGATCTCCACCAGAACACCATTCCAGGATCAGATAAATGTTTTCAGAATCCCACTGAAAACATTAGGAATTCTGATTTTTTAAATAAGTCAGAGATTGGTTGTTTTGTACTACAATGAATAATCTTTTCATATACATTTTAGATCATAAAAAGGTGACAGATACACTGTCTGTTTCCACAGTTATTAGAGCAACAATATTTCTAACTAAATATTTCTGTGCATGCTCAGAAATACAAACCAAATACTGAAAGCTAATTACTTTATGTTCATGTGGCCGGACTTGGTTCARTGAGTGAAACTGTAAAACGATAGTTTTATAGTTTGTAGAATAATCATTACCCAGGTTTACTGCAATGAAGGAGGGAAACTCCTCAGAACAGCAATCATTAACGGTAAACAKATATTTAGGTCAAACACAAGCAACAAGGGCTTAAAAAACAAAGTAAATATTAATATGAGCAACTATTTCCTCATAAATTACACAAAGAATGTCAAATTGTGAGAATTCAAGGTTTATTATAGACAGTTTATTTATATTTAAATTAGGGCTGTCAAATGATTAATATTTTTAATCTGATTAATCCCAAAGTAGCTGTGAATTAATCACGATTAATCTTAAATTCAATATAAATTTCTATTGCATATTGATAAAATAAATTCCTTGAGTTGTTAACTAGTTATTAATGTTTTTATTTAGAAAACAAAATAGATGCTTAGACATGATTTTTTTAAATATAAAACAGGACCTAAAAAATGCTGCAAACATCTTTGAGTCAGTTAAA